GCCTTAAGCTGTAGGAACCCTGGATGAGCTGATGATATCAGGATGATCCAGGTATCAAAATGTAGCTTTTAAAGACAAGAATCTGAAAATGTAATTAGGTCATTTTGACCAAATTTGACTTAATCCTCATGTCGATATGATGGCTCACATATTCCCATGGAATTTAAGGGTTGAAATGACAATAAATTATCTTTTAAAACAGCATGGGGTTTATGAGGGGGGTCCCTGAAATTGTTTTTGCCATTAAAAGGGGTCCCCAGACCCAAAAGGTTTGAGAACACCTGCTGCATATTTTGATGATGTATTTATTTAGAAAATATGGTTCAAACCTTGTTTATTTGCAACATAATCGAATCAAAACCATCTGTAACTCAAAAACAGTCACTAGGTTTAAAAGTTCTGTTTTTACATCTCTTATTTGGTAAAAGTTAATTTTAGGTTGAAGGAACCAGTTTCAGGAGGAGTTGGGATCCACTCCGTGGCTACAAAAGCAAGAAATGTGAGGTAATAAAAATAAAAATCACAATAAACAGGTTTGTGCAGGAGCTTGTGTGCTTTATTAGCTACTGATTAAAGGTAGAGGATGAACCTTAGCCAGGACCTAATTAATCAAAAGAAACAAAACACACATTATATTAGTTAGTTAGTTAGTAGCCTTCATTTAAAAGGAATGAAGACTGAGGTTTGTCTCGTTTAACTCTTCAGAAGTGATTTGATCATAGAGGAGGGAGCTGGTAACTGACTCCTTTCATTTTCATCTCCATTGGAAGGACCATTTGGGCAAATGAAGCACAACATTCTTAAAAGAAAGACTTAATATAGTATACTGGGCAAAAATAGTACATTAAATTAGGCTATCAGATTGTTTAAATGTACAAAATAATGGGTGAGGCTGCTTGTTATGAGTGTTTTATGTGATGGAGACTAAGAACAGTTTCACCAATGTAAAACAGTTATGACAGGTGTGCTGTAGGCCTTTTACAACAAGTATTTCATGTCCTGAATCTTGTCACATCCACAGGTAGCAGAACAGCAGCGTATGAATGATAGACTGACCAACGAGAATCAAACCACAATCAAATTACTGTTGAACAGTAAGAAGAAACTAAAAGCTACACATTGCACTAAGCCACGGCGGTGGAACAGCTTGTCCTGTGGATGGCTCTCGCCCACTCTGGAGGGACGATGGGCGGGCGTTTCTCTTTAAATGGCTTCCACGTAGTTGGCGGGCAGCATGCCGGTCTTGCCGGTGCGCTGCACGGTGCCGTACATCCAGCCCTCGTCAATGGACTGCACGTTTATGATGACATCACCGTCTTTGAAGGACACCTCGTCGCTGTCCGCTGCGCCGTAGTCGTACATGGCCCGCACGGTTTTCTGCAGGGGACAGTAAGGACGGGACTTCAGAGGTCACAGAAATGTCACGCATGAAGGATAGTTCAGATCTGCTGAAGTGACGTTTGTTCAAAAGGTTACAAAAATATAATCCTCTACCTTAATCTATAGGTTTTACAACAACAGTTTGGCTGATTAACAAACAGATAGTTGTTTATGATGGTCTGAGTGGTGCCAAGACCAAAGTGGACCGCTGACATCTGAAAATAACTGTTTTACTGTTTCTGTTTGAGCTTTACATTAATGAGAATTTTACATCAACAATCATGTAATCCTAAACCGACAGTGATGTAATGGTTTATAAAATATTTTCACAGTTGTCAAGTAACTACCATGTATAATATGATCTCATGTATAATACGAGCCCTCCCCCACCACCACCTGTTTTGAGCTTAAAAAGCYTAAACGTGAAAGCGGTATCAGACAACAAGAAAGCACTGGCGAGACTCGAAARGAGCACTGGGGAGCTCATGGTCAGGACAACGTCCCTGGAGCAGAAGGTAACTCATGGAGGAAAGGTTGGGACATAATGAAGACAAGATGGCGGATGGAGAGGACGGCAGCATTTTTGCTTCGGGAAACGAACAAATTATCAGAGAAATGTAATGACTTTTAAAGAAAAAAAGGGTGATATAGTTCTATTAGGAAAAAATAAATAAATAAAAAACACTAGTTATAAAATAACTTACTACATTACAAGAAAATCGTGTTCATAAGACTAGTACTGAGGAGTTTTAGTCTTTATGACTTTAGACAACTACTAGAAAGTTGTTAACACACACAGTTAATTAGTCGTCGACTAATCGTGGCAGCTCTAGAATAAAGCTGATATTTCTGTTAAAATACATCAGTAAAAATATTTATCTGAGTATAATACTACCCCCCAACTTTATGGATGATTTTATGGAWTAAATTTTACATATTATACTTGAATACAAATACTTTGTTACTTTAATTAGAAATTTTAGTTATATATATATTGAGTTTGAGTAATTTTTCAGCTGATTTTTTACTCCTGCTGACGTTTTCATGCAWTCATCTGTACTTTATACTCCTTACATTTTTAAAAATGGTAAAAAGTCATCTCTCCTGCTTCATTCTGGCTTGTTGTTGTTATAAAACAACAACTTTCCAGATAAATTGTGCCTCAGAGTGAATTTATTTGTGGTTGGATGAGAAGTATAAAAATCGACCTCTCTGACACCTCATTGGTTTGTGTTATCCGTCACACCTGTATGACACAAATCACACCTGAGCAGCACATGTCAGACATACGTATGAAGACCACTGAGGCAGATGTACACAACATGCTGCTGAAACAGGCAGAATACTAAAGTTTTCAGCATTAACTTTTTTATTTAAAATTAAAGTCATATTTCCTTCAGAAATATGTTTTGTTGGAGAGTTCACTTCCCAATAAATGTCATTTTTGAAATTCTAACTGCTCATTTTTACACAATACTTTTACTTTAAATATTTAAGTACATTTTAAATGATATGTACTTTTGATACTTCAGTATAGTAACTATCAGATATCTTAAGACTTTTATACCAGCAGTATTCTTAGAGAAGACAAGTAATTTTATGGTAAATATCACTTTGAGGTACTCTATASAAGACTGATCATTTTAATGACTTGTTATGGTAAGATACTTGTACTTTTACTCAAATATCATTTTGAGATACTCTATAGAAGACTGATCATTTTAATGACTTGTTATGGTAAGATACTTGTACTTTTACTCAAATATCATTTTGAGATACTCTATYGAAGACTGATCATTTGAATGAATGGTTATAAAACATTTGGAGACAACTTGTTTTAGGATGGAGGCGGACCACTTTGGTCCTGGTCACACTGATTAACCTTAAGCTCATCAACCCAATCAAAGTTAAACTCTTTCTTTAAATTGAGGTCTTTCAAAGAGTTATCTGTAACAGGTAAGATATTTATTGGTCATAACTGTCCCACTTAATCTTAAAAGACCCAAACTACCCCTTTAACCTCTCTCTTTGAAGGGTTCCTACAGAGGCCAGCAGGGATTTGTGACCCTTTGAGTTTAGAATTATTTTCAGTTCATGAATAAATTCAGATTAACTTGGATGAGGAGGAGATTCAGGAGAGGAAGTGTGTAATCTCTGTGTGTGTGTGTAATCTCTGTGTGTGTGTGTGTGTGTGTTACTAACCCCGGTAGTGGAGGGGTGTGAGGGCACTGAGGAGACTGTGGTCTGTTGGGTGGCCACAGAAGATGACCTCTGCTGCACCTCCACAGTTTTAGTCTGCTGGTATCCTGCAGATGGTAGAAAATAAACACAGGTGAGTCTRAGATCCTGATCCTGACGTCTGTTTGTAAGCATGTTTGGTAAAAAAAAAGATAAATGTGTGTTTATGATGTGATTCTGGACTGTTACCCATAGAACTGGTCATGAAGCCGTTGCTGTAGAGGGACAGGTGGTGGTCCACGTCCTGGGACACCTCTGACTTCTCATCAGCAGCACCGCTCAGGGCGCTGGTGGAGCGGGAGTGCTCCTTGCTGCGACGCTGTGCTTGGACTGTCAGAATAAAGTCAAAAAACAAACCTTTTTTTACCAGCGTTCCATATTAGAGAAGTGAGACGTGTATTTTTTTTAAAGGGAGCTAACTTGTTGACTAACAGACACTGATGTCTGTCAGGTTAACCCAGCAGCATTTAGTCAAACTCAGTGATGTGGAGCAGACGCAAAACAAAAGGACATGGATTYTATGTCTTAAACTATGCATTAGAATATGTCAGGTAATGACCATGAAGAAGAAAGACCTGAACATTTATAACTGCTACGTGACACAACCTGGGCTCAAACTGCAGCCTCAAGATTACACACCCACAGCACTGACCACCAAGCTACCCGTGACCCTTTGATTTAATAACTGAATAAATCCAGACTTCTCAGACAAACTGACTACATTTCAGGTGTGTTTCGTTTGAATTAAAGCTCACCTGACATCATGTGCAGACTCCTGGACTGGATGTTGTCCTCAGCAGGGTCATAGTCAAACACAGAGCCGGGGTTTGTGCGCCACACACGCAGATCTGAAGGTTTAGAAGAAACCATTTGATCAAAGAAATATACCCCAAAACCCTTCATCATGTCAGAGACGATCAGGTTAAAACAGTGTTTCATCAACAGGACATGTGGTTCATTTCTTTGATTTAAAAACAACTCATCTGTTGACGCGCTGCAAACAGAATCATTTTAAGTTTTGTGCTGATGTGTTGGAGCCGTGTCCTGGCTGGTGACCAACGTTAGAATAGTTTTGGATTTTTCATCATAGTTTAGTTTTACTTTGTTTTGACTTTTTTATTTTAATTCAGTTAATTAGTTTTTACAGTGGCTTTACTAATTTTTATTAGTTATTATTGCTTTTTTAATTCTTAGTTTAGTTTAGTTTTTATTAGTTCTAGTTTTAGTATTTTTACAGTTTGAATAAACATATAT